TTCTTATAGCCTAAAAGGGTGTGAAAATATTTTTTTCTTGATTTTAGTCGATAGTTTGCATGGCAGCTCTACGCTATATAGTGGTCCGATCTAAACAAATTATGTAGAGATAGTAGCGTTGCCTTGGAAACAAATCTGCCTCAAATTTCGTGAAGATATATTTTCAAATAAAAAAGTTTTCCATAGACGAAAATTTTATTCGATGAGTTTGTATTGCAGCTAAATTCTACAGTTGTGCGATATCGGCGATTGCTATAAATGAGCAGCTTTTTCGCAAAAAAGAAAGTGTGCAAAATTTCACATCGATATCTCAAAAATTGAGTGACTGATTCGCGTATATACGAACGTATGTGGCTAAATCTCGCTAATCATTTATATAATATATACACTTTATTGGGTCTCAGACTTCATGACAAACTTAATACATCCTGTTCAGGGTATAAAAATTACAAAAGCCTCTAAATTATAAGCGTATAGCGAAATACAAGTACCAAATCGTTAGAGCTTTGTAGAATAATGATTAGATTTTATTGCAGATTTGCCGATTAAAAGTGAAATTTAATTTATAACTACATATGTATTGGTATATTAATGGTTTTAAATGGAAAATCTTGAATACAGAAGCTACAAATTTTCTTCAAGTACTTGGATTAAATAGGAATGTAAGTTTCTGCGCGAATTGTGCATTTGCGAGCCTTATGTATATGGAAGAGTGTGTTTATCCGTAATTTATAGTTTATAAAATGCAAACATGTGCTAAATTATATATGTATGTAAATACAATTTACTCAAGTACATATGTATGTATATGTATATATGTACATATACTTATACGCGCGTTCATTTGCACACCCACAATTTCCGTTTCTTATAAAATTATTACCGTTGTGTTTACTGTTAGCACCTCTAACAGCCATTGTTAAAGCAAAACAACAATAATAGTCGACAGGCCTCCTACTATTCACACATACACATACACAAACACACACACAAACGCATAGCGCTTTGAAGTGGTCAGACAATGTGTTTTAAAACAAATTTAAAGCAGTTTTTTTCACTCTCGGCTACTTTTTTCACACACATGTGCTTACCTACAAGTATATACGTGTGCGTTTGTAAATATATTTACAATATATAGCTGGCTAATTAATAATAATTGGACAGACTGTTTTGACAATTCTAAGCGTTGTTGTCGTCGTGAAGTGTGTCTCATTGTGTCAGCGTGTCTCGCCAAATACAAGTGCAACATTACATACACTTATGATGCTTCTTCAGCCTGGGTGGGCATACTTTGCCGCAACCAGTACTAAATTAACTCCTTAATATTTCAGGCAAGAATTTGCGGTACTAAACGATGTGAGCTCAATAAACGACAGTTTTGCATTGTTACTGATGACGTTGTCATTGCTGATAAACTCAATGAAATTCATGCTTCCCACAAATTTTTCAGCCTACAAGAAGATGGCGGAATGTGATAAAAAGCAGCTATATGATATAGTGATCTGATCTGACCAATTTCAGCGGAGAATAATTTGTTGCCTTAAGCAAGAACTCGTTTTTAATTTCGAAAAGATACCTCGTCAAATGAAAGAGTTTTCCATGCAAGCACTTTACTCCGATCGTTCAGTTAATATGGCAGCTACATGTCATAGTCATCCGATCTATACAATTTATTCGGCGATTAGATTATTGCCTTAAATAATAATCCATGCCAAATTTCGTGAAGATTCCTCGTCAAATGAAAGAGTTTTCCATGCAAGCACTTCATTCCGATTGTTCAGTTTATATGGCAGCTATATGCTATAGTGGTCCGATATCGGTCGTTCCGACAAATGAGCAGCTTCTTTGTGAGAAAAGAACAAGTGCAAAATTTCAGATCGATAGCTTAAAAACTGAGGGACTAGTTTGTATATATACAAACAGACGGACAGAGGGACAGACAGACAGACGGACATGGCTAAATCAACTCAGCTCATCATGCTGATCATTTATATATATATTTTATAGGGTCTCCAACGTTTCCTTCTGGGTGTTACAAACTTCGTGGCAAACTTAATATACCCTGTTCAGGGTATAAATATTTGACATGTAATTCAGGCAGCTGTGTGTATGTAATGAAATCAAGTGAAGATTAGGAAATAAATACAATTTCTTCGGTTATCAAGGTCCAACAGTTGATATAGCTGTTTGAAGGATAAAAGATTTAGCAGATGAAAACTCTTAAGGGGACTGATGAGATTTGCAACTTTTTTTCCAAGTGAAGATTATTGAATAATTGATGCGCCGTAACTCCACCATATTCGGTTTTTATTAACTTAACATAAATATTTTAAATACTAGGAACATACTTTATACATACCTCGAATATTTTAAAAGAAGGGGTGTACCTAGTTTATACTCATGTTCTACTTGAAAGCGTTATATTCGCTTGTGGATTCAAAACTTCTCAAAACTTTAAACACGCTTATCTCGAAATGTTTTTTTAAGAGCCGGTGAGGAAAATTTTTCCGAAGTGGCTGAACCAATCGACTTAAAAATTAATATAAAATAATAAATAATATTTTTGATAATAATTTCGATTTTTTTATATTTATATAATTTTGAATTTGATTATTACGTAAATTTTTTCACAAAAACGATTTTTTTTAGAGAAGTTGCCTTTTTGTCAAACTCAAAATTGTGACTAGTCCTTTCATTATTCACCATAGTTTTCTATACTAATAATGATTTTATTTCGGTTTATGGATTTGTGATCATTTTAAGCAGAAAAATCTTTTTCACCGTTTCTCAGACGTCCTCCTGGAAATTGCGAAATCAAGAAAATTCCAAATTTTTTAAAATTAAAAATTTTAATTCTGTAAATATGCATTATTTTTATAAATTTAGTAAACAAATTGCTTTTTCAAAAATAAAAAATTAAAAAACGCGTTTTTTCTGCGTTACAAGTGGATATAACACCTTGAGTGGCTGCATAAAGCTTGTTAGCGGGTACATTGTATTCGGTTTTCATTAATTAATGAAAACAATAACCTTTTAAAATGATAAGACTTTCTGAAATCCAACAAATTTTTACTTAGCGTTGTGGCTCTAAAAGGTAAGAATCACGTCATGAATATTGTGCTCTAATATAAAGACTATAAGATAAAGAGTATTTACGAACATTTTGTGCTCATGCTCATCTTTAAAGAACGATCCTACTTTACGAAGCTTACTATTTCTTTATACGACCGAAACGAGATCGGCCATTTTTATTTCTGCTTACACGAAAAATCATATAAAATGTACGCAGATATAACAACAACAACAAGGAAATATGCAAAATAAGAGGCATCGGTAAATTTGTGAGCTACGGGTTCTAAAAATAATTTTTTAATAAACATATTTTTTTTTAAGATTTTTTATTTTTGTTGAAATTAAGTATTATTTACGCCTATATAATTTGTTTAATTCTGCAAACGGTGTTTAAAAACATGCCTCAACCGTGAAGCTACATACATATGTGTGTGGTGCTAACACTTGTATTCCATCATATATTACATTGTAGAAAAAAAGCATGAAGTTATTGAATATACTTTAATTTTTTTAGTGCGTTATTTCTTTTCACGTATGCTTATTTCTAAAACTAAATTAAACAACTAACTACAATTAATTACAATTCTAAAAGTACATATGCCCACTAAGCCAATTAAAACTTTCACTATCACAAATTTTGTTAATTTTTATCATATTATTTGCTGGTTTTGCGACACTGCGCCACACAAATTTTTACATTACATAGACACACAGCAACGTTTCAGATAGAAGTATTATCTAACGGATTATCTAATCAATTTCCACATTCTCATCACAATCCTCCGTCGTAGCGGAGTGCGTCTCAGCGCAGCTTTCCGTATCCGCAGACATGGCTGATGTCAACATGGCGCCAGCGGCATCCATGGCAGTTGGACTGGAGCATGATCTCGATGGGCTACTGCTGTCGCCACTGGCGAGCGTGTTGCCATGCGTGGGTGATGAGGAGGCCGAGGAGCATTGTATGTAACGCATGCCGTGCTCCATTTTAGCGAAATTCAATGCATTTTTTGTGATCTCAAAATTGTTATTGTTATTTATATTTGCGTGATTTCCCGCAGCGTGTATGGCAAAACCGCCAGCAACTGAACCGTTCGCCGACGACTGACTGGGCGGTGGTATGGGTTGAGGTATTTTCGACGCTTGCGGATAGAAATAAGGAAACGATACTTGAGGCAATGAAACGCCTACGCCGTAAGCCATTTGCAACTGTAGATGGATAGAAACAAAAATAGCAAATATTTTTATTAGTTTAATTTTTTTTATGCAATATAATTTATTACAGAAACATTGCATCTAAATATTTGTTTTACATTAAAAATATCCGTTGCCTACCTGATGACGATAAATATGCAGTAGTGCGGGATCAATGCCATGCGTCGGTAACATGTGGGCATATGCAGCAGCCGCTGCTGCCGTCGCCGCACCGCTGCCGTCCTCGCGCACTAACACCTGCACTGGCACACGCTTCGTGGCGGCGCTCATCAGCGCGGCTTCATGCTGCTGAATTTGTTTGCGCTTCGTCTTGTAACGGCGATTCTGGAACCAAATCTTCACCTGTGTCTCGGTCAAACGCAGATTTTTGGCCATTTCGGCACGTTCCGGGCCGCTGAGATAACGCTGTTGTGCGAAACGACGCTCTAGCTCAAATACTTGCGCGTGACTGAAAGCGGCACGTGAACGCTTCTTACGGCTCAGCGAAGCGTTGAGCGCGTCTGTGTCATGCAGCGTAGGTGAAGTGCTTCCCATGCAGCTATTACTGGCGGAATGCGCAGAGGCGCCACCATAAAGCGACAACATTGACGGTGGCGGTGAAGACTCAGAGTCTAAGTAACAAAAATAAGAAAAAGCCAAAGTTGTAGTAAATACATGCATATTACTTGCTGGAAATTAGTTTGTGCTAGTTTCAAAAATTTGGTCACCAACACGTGTCTACTAGTTGCGTCTAACAATGCGCCACAGTGTTTCGCTTGTGCTAATGCATTTTCGCTATTACAAAGCTTTTAAAACTTTACGCCAACTTACCTGATTCATTATTGCTGCAACGTCGCATGTCAATGGGACAATCGCGTTCGCCCACCAAACCCGCCGTACCGATATAACCGAACTTTCGCGCTAGCTGGTAATCACTGTGATTGTTATTATCCAAAGTGGCCATATAGTAGGGCATAAAATCGTTATTTTCACAATTGCTGCTTTGTGCGCCGCCTGTTCCGCGGGCCGCCGCCGATGATGCCGAGTACTTTGCGACCGCAGTGCGCATTTCACAGATCGGACTCGAATTGTTGGAGGGCTTGCGCGAGGCGCCGTTTTCTAAAGCAGCACTTAATTTACTGTTATTAAATTCACTCGCGCCGATATGGCAACACGAAGCAGACGTTTTCAAACCGTCTTTCAATTCACGTGCCTGATTTTGACGAAAATCTGTGGCGACTGCTGCTTCCGCGTTAAACGACATTTCCGTGTCGGAGAGTCGCCGCCGCAGCTGTTGCTGTTGTGCTGCATTTAAGCTATTGTTGTTGCGCGTTAAAATATCATTTATGGAGAAAGGCGTTGTGAGCGCCGCCTTACTAAGGCTCACTAATACACCTCCGCCATTAACACTATGGCCACTATTCTCCATATTCGTTAACATTCCACAACTATTTCAATAAAAATTGCTTGCTTTTATTTTATTAAATTTTTTTTTTTTATTTGTTAGATATTTATCGCTTTGCAAACTCTTTAATCCAATATTTATCAACAACCACTCTGTGAACTATTATTATTGGATTATTGCTTCCTCGCGACCTTTGACACGTCCGTTAACGTCTGCTCATGCGACACCATTGAACAAACTCACCACGCACAGTTAGATTTTAAATACTTCGATCGCACTTGGTAGCATAGACTAGGTCGCCCGCAGACAGAGCAAGAGCACCAGCACTCAGCCACCTCCCGTTTATGTGGCACTCGAGTGTTTTTCCGCCGAGTGACCCTTAAGCAATGCCGCTGTTGTTGTACTCACAATAGTGGCGTCTCTATGGTAAATTCTGTGTATTATTATTATTCTATTTTTATTTAATACCCACATACTTACATTTACATACATACATACACACATTGAAACGCACACTCCGATCATCTCAAGCATCTCAGCAGCCCCACTTTGAGCGCTTTTCCAACTCAATTTCTGATTCGTTTGCTGTTTGCAGCGCTCATGCGCCACACAGCGTCTCTGACATCTTCGCACTGTTCGGCTGTGGTTGGTACACTTTTGTCGTGTGTAGCGGTAGTGTTGGTGTTGACCGCTGATTGGCTTAGAGCGAGCATCATTGCGCTACCTCAAGTGATTTATGAGTGCGATTATTGCCGTTAACATCCAATATAGTGCGAGCTCACATATTGTTATTGTATTGCTATTGAGTGACTACTTGCATTTGTTTGTGGTTTCATAAATTGTATGAATTAAGAAATTGGGTGACTGCAGTATTTACGCGTTAAATACATATACAAATATGTATAGATACATACATACATACAAAACATATTAAAAAAGATGTCAATTTTACCCAGTGCTTTGTATCGTCAAATTAGACAAGCTGCACGACTAATTGGGGCACATTAGATTGCGGCAAATAATGGAAATTTTGAACATCTTAACAGGTGGAAGTAATGTGTATGTACATACATATCTGATCAATGGAATGGTAAACAATGCCAGTTTAATAGCGTCATTGCACATTCCCCGAAGCGGATTTTTAAGAAAACGCACAAACATTAGAAAAGACTGTACTAATCTAGGAAAAAAATGATATCGATTCCGTTAGCGGGTGCAGTTAATGAGCCAGTCCGAGTCATATTTGATCAGATGTATATATGAACATATTTCAGCTTCAAACCACAGCTTTCACTTTGGTGAAAGTGATTAAAAAATTTTTTTTTTATTGCTTTGTCACGATTTTGGTAAAGGGTTTTTGAAAATATGTATTGTTTAACCCTTAAATGCCTGGTGGTTTCTCCAAGAACCAACCGTTATTTTTGTAAAAGATTCATGTATACACATGCATTTTTAAATATTATACCACGTGACATTGTTGTGTGTGAGCTTTGTAGTAATTTACATTTGACTTGAGTAAGAGTGCATCGAAAAAATAATTTCAAGGAAAATTTTGTACTTTCAAGTGATAGTTATTAACTAGTGTTGAAAATTTGCAATCTTCATCGTTATTACAATTTAATTTGAGTTTTCCAAATTTAAATTCAAATTTTATGAAATAAAATTGAAATGGTTCCTTGAGGAACCATCTGGTTCACATCAGTATCACGTATATTTCTATACTAACTAATGTATCTTTTATCAGTTTACTAATAATTTCAATAAAATATGAATTTTTGTAAAAATATATACTTAAAAGACCAACTAATAAAACACCCTGTAAAATCCATAAGAATCATTTTTAAGAAAAATCGTAGAACAAATGTTGTTTGTCACCGACAATTATAATACATATCAAAATTCTGAATGAATCGGAATAATCAGGTTTTTAAGTGCTAAATAGGGAAAGTTTGCCACGAAGTTCGTAGTAATAAGAAGGAAATGTGAGCAATCCTTGTATATTTATATAAAAATGATAGTTGACCATGATGAGCTAATTCGATTTAGCCGATGTCCGTCTGTCTTTATATGTGCGAACTACGCCTTGTACACGTCCATTTCTTCCCAAGATGCTCATCATTTGTCGGAGCCGCCAATATCAAACCATACAAACTGACCGTTCAAAATCAAGATCTTTTTATACCCATTTATGCTATAAAAAACGCACCTGTGAAAGGTACTATAGTTTCGGTGCAGCCGAAGTTAAATTTTTTTTTGTGTTAATCAAAATATCTCTTGAAAAACATATTTAAGTTCATAGGACCACGTGATTGGGTGAGAATAAATGATAAAAATGGCTTCCACTGAGTGAAAAATAGCCGTCGCTATTTTACTCCCACCATTGAGTAAGTTTGCGTATAAGTGAGTGTTATTGCGTTATTGAGCTTTTTATAATATAAGAATTTTCTGTTCGATTTAGGCCACAAACTACGCCAATAATTTGTATTAGTATTTATATAAAATTTTATAAACGGTTAATAAAAGTATAAATGTATATATGTTCATGTGTATGTATATTTTTATATCAGTAATAGGTAATATAAAAGTATCTTTTTGTATTAAAAAATTTTAAACAGCTTGCTGTTAAGATGTTTACACCTTTACCTTTACATATCCATATACTTGTATATATGATATACAAATAAAATAAATGATAAGATCCTTAAAAATGAAATCGTACGTAAAATGCAATATGTTGGCTAAACAATTCACTTTTTTTAATGAGTTATCCCTTGATTACACACTTGCAAGTGGCGAGATTTATAAATGCAGATTTATTATATACCTACATATATATACCATATACATATATATATTAGAGTAGGTCAAAAATCATGTATGATAGACACCTCTAAGAAAGGCTCTCCAAGTAAAAGCTCTTAATTGTAACGGGAAGGTCCACCATTTAACGGTTTTCTATTGTTTTCTTATTATCAGATAGGAAAATTCATACAGCCGTTAGTATATTTTAAACAGTTAAGTTTACGAAAAATCCGTAAGAAACCATTTTGTAGAACATTCAATTTCCAACAAACTCTATGAAACGAGAAATTTTTTGAAACAGTTATGAAATATGAATTTTTCTATCGTTTTTATTTTTTTGACCCACCATTATATATACATAGATTTGTTTGTACAGGGATATATCGCAATATCCTTTACCTTTAACATACGCTATGTCCTTTAATATCCCGTTAACATTCATTTGTGTACTTCAGCTGGCTCTTTTGCGGTTATACTCATGAGTAAGTAAGTAATGTGACTTTTTGCCCGCAAGCGAAAATTATTTACACTCTTGTGAATAGAATTTGTTGATTCTTTTAAGCATCACAGAAAAAATGCTAAAATCGCTAGGACGCCGTGACCTGCTAACGTGAATGTGACTAACGTAAACCTCGTTAAAAAAGAAACATATTTATTTACATTTGAGTAACTCTCAATAATACTTGAGTAATTAGCAATAAATGACACAGCGACAGGGTTGATATTGCAGCCGGTCGAATAGTCACAAATGATTGTGCCATTATTGTTGTTATATACCTAAATAACCTATTATATCCGTATGTATGTATGTATATACGTGAAATGGTTTTTGAGGTGTAATTGTGTTCATGCGAATAAACCACAACAATGCAGTGACACGTGACCAAATAAAGTCTCAGCATGTGAAGGACTTTTCACCGTTCCTCTCCTTTAGCAGCATTGAATTACTGCATCTATGGCTTGTGTTATTTTAATACCTCTTGTATTTAAGTCCATATTCTTTGTTTAAGTGTTGAGATTAGAAATCAAAGTTCAATATCAAAAGCATTTTAGCATACGGGTATAATCCATACATATGTACTATACATAAATATATATTTTTGTTGTATAAAATGATATAACTTATTTTTGTAGATTTTATTTTTGTTTATAGAGTTACTTAATATCTTTACTTGTGCTTTAAAATTCTATTAAGATATGATGAATCGCCTTTTTCAATTAAATTATCTACTGGAAGAAAACTGAGTGCAAACCTTGTAGGAAATTACTAATGATAATTTCAAAATGAAGACAATCGTAACATTTTAAAAATAAATTAGTATAATTAACAAGAAAAAACTTCAGCTTTGGTTGCACCGAAGCTATAAAGACTTCACAAATAAAAAAAAAAAATCCATACAAGAAATCAAGTTTAAACGGTCAGTTTGTATGGCAGCAACTTATATGCTATAGTGGTCCGATCAAAACAATTTCAAAACAGTTTAGAGATTGTATTGTTAACTTGGACAATAACCCATGACAATTTCATGAAGATATCTTGTCAAAAAAAGAGGTTTCCTTAACAGAACTACATTTTGATTGTTCAGTTTATATGATATAGTGATGCAATAACGGCGGTTCCTATAAATGAGCATATTCTTGGTCAGTAAAGGATGTAGTTCGGATATATACAGAGAGACATAGGCATAGACGGGCATGGTTAAATTGACTCAGCTTGTCACGCTCGTCATTTATATATTTTTTACGGTCTCCCACGTTTCCTTTTGAATAAATTTATTACACCCATTTCACAGTATGTATAAAAAATGTTGTCATAAGTATATGTCCGCGAACTCCATTTGTACCAAACTTATTTGAGATATATCAATACTCGTCAAAAAAATATATATTAAATATATATATAAGTATTAAATAAATATAATAAATAATAGAGTATACTATAAAAAATAATAGGGTTATTGATTCTTCTAAATACTATGTCAAAATCAAAACTGTCAAGTTGTTCACCAATAATATCAATGTTCGCTAGACAGTGCCTATAAAGGCTAATTTCCATTTTATATGATTTTCATTTTAATTATGCAAAAAATTTTGAAAATTGTGATAAAACATAATTTTAATGGACAGCGCTTTGCCCACTTTTCACACTATTGTTTTGCGCATTCACAATTTTAATATTCTTTTTTATTTCATTATTCTGATTTTAACTTGTCAAAATTATGCACTTGTTGAAACTTAACTTTCACATTTTCCTATAGGGTGCCGGCGTGTTTTCAATTTTTGCGGGTATAAATGTATGTAAATTCGTATCGGTTTTCACTTCTTCCCTGGTCACGGTGCATTTACGGGATCATGGCAGTGGTTGCTTTCATACATACTTATGTGTGCACGTATTTGCTGTGTGTGTATTGCATTTGGCCACTTGTTTCTTGTGTGGATAGTAAATTCGCTTTAATAGTTAATCGAAGTGCTCTTCAACTAATATTTGCC